CTCCCCCAAGATCCCAAGAGGCAGAGACCGCAGGAAAGGACTGGGCTTCAGGGTTTAAAGGGCCCAGCACCACAGACCACCTTTGTTGTCAAAGGGAAGCCTTCAAAAAGAAATGAAAACATATCTGTCTTCCAGATCCCTTCTTTACTGCTTTGGAAGCGGCTTTCTTGGACTGCCAGTGTATTTATCAGCATTCCAGAATAGAATGCATATTCTTGATGCTGGGCACGACTTGGGCAGCACCAATTTGCTCCATACCCAGCTCCTCTCCCTATTGAGTAGGCACAGAAATAAGTAGGATGAGCAACGCAGCTACTGAGATGCTGGCCCACAAAGATGAGTGAAATGTGTAGTCTATACATGCAGACTGGGTGACCTTGGCCAATTAGGAAACCTCTTTGAGATTCCATCTGTAAAATAGGGTTGTGAGTATGAAATGAGAGAATATAAGTGAAGTTCTTAACACAGCACACACTTAACAAATGCACAATACAAGGTAGGCATAGTCAAGGTAGTAAGAGTATAAAAATCAGAGTGGGACTTGAGAGCAGAAGGAATCCAGATTTCAAGATTTTCAACTTTTCTATTTCCTGAAACTTCTCACGCTAACTCGGTTGGCTCAGGCAACATGGATACACTTTGTATGCTGATATTAGAAATGTTTCAAGGTCAAGTGCCAGGTCAACATAGTTTCTTCAGAGCATTCCCTAACACAGTGCCACTTAATCAATGTGGTACCTAGAAGGTGCAGTTCTTCTATTCTGAAAAGACATGAAAGCTATAGAATACATTTTGAAAAAATAAGCATCTCTTCAGCAACAAAGATTCTGGAGAACACATTCAAGATGTTCCCCATCTTCACAGTTCCACCAGCCAGTACCCAGGACATGTACTGGTTCCCAAGCACTGGGCTCTTGGAACCAGGGAGCAGAGGTGAATGATCTGGTTGCCATTCTTTTAAAAAAGGTGACAGGTATGTGCATTCATTTAGTGTTCCTGACGCCTGGTACAGGGACACCAAAGAAAACAAAAGTTGTCCTGAGTCTTGTGTTCATTCTGGAGCCTGCTTGGTGCTCCCCACGGGCAATGCCCTATGTCTCACATACCTTCACTCTGATCCTCCCCCCCGCCCACTTCTTTAAATGTACAACATCACCAACCATTGTTCAACCTCATCACTGAAAGCTGAACACACAGTGGCAGAGGCCAAAACCTGTGGCTGTGTGTGCCTGAGATTAAGACTTTTATCTGATCTTTGACAACTTGCAGAGGAAATCCTGTTCCAAAACTCAGAGCCCTGAGAGAAAGGTTGCCAGCAGTTCTTCCCTCCCACCTGTGAGATAAATCAGGGCACCCGAAATGTGAATATGGGCTCATTATGGATAAATATAATAAGCTCACCTCCTCTCACATCATTAATCTCTCCCCCTACCTTTTTTTTTTTTGAGCCATGGAGCATAACAAAGTCTCTTGGCAGAGCTGGGCTGTGAGTCCTTTGTATTGCCCTTGTACACACCCAGTTACAAAGCACAGATGCCTCGTAGAAGATGCTCCCTGCAGCCGAAACTCAAATGACCGTCCAGTCTTTAGGATTCCCGCAGGAGCTCAGCCAGCTCTTCCTCAACTGAAACAGACACGGGTAGCTGTGTCATCCCTGTGTAGACCCAAAGTGATTCTCAACTCCTTGAGTCAAAAAACATCAGGCAGAAGGGTGTGTCTTTGGTGGTTGGAGTAGAGGTTGCAGAGAGTTGTACGTTCCTCTCATTTCCCTCACCCCACCCTTGGCTAGGGGACTAATTGCATGTGGTTAGTTCTAGATTGTTTATCACAGCCCTGGACTTGTAGCCAAGACAGGTTTACCTGATATTCAGGTACAGTTGGTGATGTCCGTCCGGGCAAATAGTGAGTACAAATGAGAATTTCTGTGCCTGAAGGGGAGAATCCCAATACAGAACACACTGGGGTGTTTGCCTTGACTCTGCTCCTTGGATGGCTTCCCTTACTGCAAAACAGGAGTGGCTCTGGTCACAAGGATGCTCAGGGCACACTGGGTGCCCAAGGAAAATGGACAAGAAAGAGAAGGCATAGAACCTGCTTTCACTTACAGTGGCCATTGCAATTATGAAAGAAATGTGCAAAAAGTGTCTGAGCGTCAACACACAGGAGCACCGCCAGCAACAGGCCAGAGAGGGTGGTCCAGATCCAGAGATGACACAGCTCAGGGGTGCGGCCTCTGCCGCAGCACCATCATTGTGTAGCAAAGGGACACACAGGTGATTCCTAAGGTCTCTTTGGCTCTAGCATCCCATGGTTCTGTGACAGCCTCTGCCAGATCATTCATTACACATGAAGCCAGACCCTCCCTGCTGCCTCCCAAAGGGAAACCGGAAGTGCATTGCCTATGCCAAGGCGTGGCCATGTCCTGGCTGCTCCACCTGTGGGGTGAGCTGGTGGGAGGCAGTGTTAGCCCCTGGCCTGTTGCACTGTCAGCCTCCATGGCATCTGGGGCTGCACCTTGTGACTCCTCTTAAAGCTGAGCTACTCTGCTGAAGGCCCCCAGGAGAGGGCCATGTTTCGTGTTTTGTTTTGTTTCAGCTTGTGAGGAAAACGAACTTGCTAGTCAGTGTGGAACTGGCCTGAGGGGAAGTGGTTCGGGGAGGGAGGCTTTACTTCTGGCTGGTGTGGGACAGAGAAGAGAGCAGGAATGCCTGATCCTCTCTTCCATTCAACCCCTTACCTCTCCACTTAGACAAAGAAGAAGCAAAGCTAGGCCAGACAGAGGACAGGCGCCTCTTTTGCTCTGGGATGGGCTGTGGCTGTAGGACAGGGTGGCTGGAAGCAGTGGTGAGCTGGAACTAGTTCATGAGGTTCCTGAGAGCCAGCTGCACGCGTCTCTTCCCAACCGCACGCCCAGTGGGAGCTTGAAGCTGGCCATCATGAAATAGGTGCACATCACATGAACACGGAGAGCCAGTTGTTACGCATTTATGAGCACATGCGGCTGAATGTACCTGCTTCTCAATCAGATAGGACTCAAATCTATGTACCAAGATCTCAGGCTGCAGCAAGTCAGCCTTTGAAGCGGATACATCAGCCCTTTCCACAGCCACTACTCCAGACCTGGCCCTTGGGCTCTGCCCCAGTCCTGCCTGCCTGCAACTCACAGAAAGGTTGAAACAGGGCCTGACTTGCTGAGATCAGCATCTAGGCCACCCAACTCCTTACACTCTTCCTCTTGAGGACTTAAAGCAGCTTGCTGTGGCTGTTTTCTAATCCATAAGCTATGAAGTATTTACCTAATACCAGCCATTATTGATTTAGGAGCTACTGTTTGCCAGGTACGGAACTAAGGACTTTTCGTAACTTATCTCATTTCATTCTTACCATAGCCTTATGAAATAATTTCCTCATTGTATAGTTCAGGAAGGTGAGGCTTGGGAGGTTACCCAGCTTATAAGTGGCGGAGGTAAGATCTGAACTCAGATCTGATTCCAAAGTGTGCTCCTTCCAAAATCTATGTTCTATCAACTACAGACATGCCTATTGTTAATACAGAAGAGGATTCTTCCTCTTTGAAAATATATCCAAATATTAGCTCCAGGCAGGACCTTCTTGAGTGGCGAAGCTCCCAGGGCCACCATGCAATCAGTATTGCCCTTCCCAAAGACACAGCACCCTCCCCCCGCCGAACACACTTCCTCTTCCCCCCTGCCCCAGCCGTTGTCCCTCCCCTCCCTCAAACTCTACTCAGAACTTAACTTCCTCCTTCAAGCGTTCTCTCATTAACCCCACTCAGTTTTGATCACTTCACCAGCTTTGCTTCTCCTCAAAGACTTACTATGCACCCTAGGTTTCTGCTGCCCTGTTTCTACAACCATGTCCTCGCTGTCCTTCATTAGGCTGCACCTACGGGCAAATGCGGCTGAATGTACCTGCTTCTCAATCAGATAGAACTCAAATCTATGTACCAAGGTCTCAGGCTACAGCAAGTCAGCCTTTGAAGCGGATACATCAACCCTTTTCACAGCCACTCCGGTGTTCTGGAAGAATACTCCCCAAGATGCTTGTTCCACTGTGGCCTCGGGCTTGGCCTCTGTCTCTGTCTATAGGCCTGTAGATGACCCACCCTTCCTATCCAAAAGAGGGCAGCCTCCCAACTATGTAGCCAAGTGTCTCAAGGATCCACTTTGTCCTGGCCAAAGATGCCGTTGGTGTGGAGCTTAGGCAGGGGGGCAGGAGAAATAGCCAGGCCGGTTAGTGTCCCTCCAGGAACTCTCCTTTTCCAGCCTTTATCTTTGGTGACATCTCTGAGGATCTCCTCTGTCTGGTCTTGGGGCCAGGAAGGGACCTGATTCTTTCCAAGTGGGTCTTCCCTGGGGGTTTGCTGGTCACACCCCCGGCCCCCTGCGCCCCAGATTGAGTTGTAGGTTGAAACTAGCCATGGAGTAGGAGTCTAGGGCTGGGTTGGAGCTTCATCTTTCTGTGTAATCGGGAGTGTTCTGAAAGGTGAGCCCACACAGGGGAGCGTGGGTGGGTGTCAGCTGGGGAGGAGGGCGGGGTGGCCAAGTCAGGGGCTGGGGGAGATTTATGCCTGCCAGCCATGCTTCAGAAGCTTCTGAGCGGACAGAGAGGGAAGGCTGGACCTCGGGTGTTCTGGAAGAATACTCCAGTAATGTGATGGTAGCAGCTGGTCTGATGTGCATCTGGGAAGCTGAAATTTTCAGAGAGCTCAGCTGAAGCAGGGAGCCATTCTGGAGAGGCCACTCTTGGCTGGCCAGGACTTGGACACCTCAGTCCTCTCCAGCTTCTCTCCTGCCTGGTCCTTGTCACCTACTCTCCCCGTGCCTGGGATACGTTTGAATTCCTCCTCACTGTCAAGAGCCAGCTGTGATCTCACACTGCTTGCTTCTGTCCTGAACGTTAACAGGCTTTTTCTCCTGCACGGACTGCCACTTTTAGACTGGCACACAGTTTTCACAAGACAGGGTTTGTGGTTTGGGTTTTTTTTCCTTCATAAGTTTGCAGCTGCTAGTTTTGAAACCACCAGCCCTGAGGCAACTCAGCCAGATACACACACACCCAGAGAGAGAGAGAGAGAATAAAAGAAAGGGATGATGGGATGTCTTTTTATAAATCATTTATTACATTCCTAACGTCCTTGCTTCACCTTGCTTTCAGGCTTCAGTTGGTGAAAGGCTCCTAGATACATTTAAGGGTTTGTGGGCATTTGTGAGCATTTAGGCGTCAGGGTGGATTTCATGAGGTGTGCCTCCCATGCTGGCTCCCTGGCTGCCTGAAGCTGACAGGTGAGTAGTGAGGGGCCAAGACTTTTGCTTATCATCTGAAGTGGATCGGCCAGCCACCTATGCCCTGCTTGAATGTGTGTGCGTGTGGATTCAGCAACGTGTGTAGGTTGGGGGCAGGGGAAAGGGGAGGAAGCAGGAGATACAGGAAGACTCTGACTGAGTTTCTGAGAATTATGTGGGAATCACCTTCAGGCCCACCTAGAGGGTCCCTTTGCCTATGCAGCCGTATATCTTTGGCAGAACGCAGACTTGAAGCAAGAAGAACCGGGAATAAACTGAATCCACAACAAACTGCTCATCTTCGGCTCTCCCCTCACCCTCACCCATCCACTGGCACTTGTGGTGCTTAATTATAGTTTTTATCTAAACCAGGAAAACATCTAGAGTCTCAGCCTAGCATCCTCCCCCTGAATAGAGCATGGGGGACTGTCAGGAGGCCAAGCTGTCAGCCCCATTCTGGGTGGCTTCTATGCTGTCTCCTTGCTGGCATTCTTACTGAACCCCATCATTCTCTGCAGGCTTAATCAAACACTTTTGCCGGTGGGAGGAGAGAGAATCAGAGTGATATTACCAAGGAAGGGAAATGAGGAATGAGTGGGCCTCCCAGTGAGGCTGGCTATGACCTGAGAGCGCAGAAGGCAATCTGGGATATTGGGAATCTCTACCACAATAAACCTTTGTGCCTCTCCCAGAAGCACGCACCCATTTTAATCCCATATCAAGACGATGTGCTCTTGTTTCTCCTCACCCTTTCTCCCCACTCATTCCTTTCCAGGCTTATTTAGGGTTCCATGAGGCTCAGGCAGTGAGGCAGGAGAGTTTGGGATAGCTTCTTCTTTGTATCATTCATACTCAACTTAGTCAGTGTTCTGCATGCGGTCGGTACTCTATAAGTGCTTATTTAACTGAATTGAACAAAATATTAGTTGTCATATCCTCTTCTGGAAACCTGAACTGATTTTCCTGTTATTGACAACAGAAAACCCAAATTCCCTATAGCCTGTCACAACAGGCTTCCTGGAGTCAGGCCTCACCCATGTTCTGCCTCCTCACCTGCTGCCCCATATCTGTGGCACTGTAATTGGCCTGGCACCACTTCCTTGCTGGTCCCTTTCCTTGGAATACCTTGTCTGGTAAATTCTGAGTCATGTTAAAAATCAATTCCAGGCCGGGCACAGTGGCTCACGCCTGTAACCTCAGTACTTTGGGAGGCCGAAGCGGGCAGATCACGAGGTCAGGAGTTCAAGACCAGCCTGATCAACATGGTGAAACCCCATTTCTACTAAAAATATAAAAAAATTAGCTGGGTGTGGTGGTGTGCGCCTGTAATCCCAGCTGCTCAGGAGGCTGAGGCAGGAGAACCACTTAAACCTGAGAGGCGGAGGCTGCAGTAAGATGAGATCGTGCCATTGCACTCCAACCTGGGTGACAAGAGAGAAACTGCAGCTAAAAAAAAAAAAAAAAAAAAAAAAAAAAATCAACTTCATTGTTCCCTCCTCTGTAAATCTATTCCTGATTCTCTTGGGTCTTTCCAGTAGAGGTGGCTGCTCCTGTAGTTGAGTTTATGTGATGTTTTGCACCCAGCACTGTGAGAGCACTCACTGTTTTTGGTTTAATTGTTTGTTTACACCTCTTTCCCTTCGGGGATCTTGAATTTATCAAAGACAGGGACCATGTCTTAGGCATAATTGCATTCTCAACTTTGCACACTGCCTAGAAATAGTAGGTACTCAATAAATGATGATTAAATTAATGAAAGAACAAATGGGTTTCCTTGATCTACTTTTGGAATCTCAAGCAGGGTTTTCCTGTACCTCTCCTCCTTCTTCGCCTTTCTTTCCCATATATCACTGCCTCATGGGGCTCAGCACATATACAGCACCAGGAATGCATCTCTTTCATGTCTTTTTCTGGAATGTCTGCATCCTGGAGCACAAATTTCCTAAGATTACTCATAGCGTTCCTGCTCCCCGTGCTTCTTGGGCTTCTGATGTTTGCAAAGACTGACTCATCACGGGGTTGTAGACACCCGTGGAGATGAGCCTTCCTGCATCTCAATGTACCTCCTCCATGAAGCCCTCCTATGTGAGTCCAAGCCCACAGGGAGTTTCCATCATGCCTACGCTGCCTGAACCCCCACTTCTCCTCTCTTCTCTTTAATCATGCCATGGTGGTTTTGGATTTGAATCCAGCTGTCATGTTGTCAGGGACTGAGTGTTTATGTCCCTCCCCAGATTCATACATTAAATCTGAACGGACAATGTGATGGTATAGGAGGTGGGATCTGCAGGGGGTGATTTGGTCATGGAGGTAGAGCCTTCAGAGTGGGATTAGGATCCTTAATAAAAGGGACCTGAGAGAGCTAGCTTGCCCTTTTTCTACCACGCAGAGACATGGCGAGGCGTCGCCAGTCTGCAACCTAGACGACAGCTCTCACTGGAACCCGATTATGCCGGCACTCTGATCTCAGACTCCTGGCCTCCAGAACCGTGAAAGATAAGCATTTGCTGTTGATAAGCCACCCAGTTATGGGACTCCGTTACAGTAGCCTGAACAGCTAGGACAGGGGTATTTTTCTTTCCAATTGTTTGGATTCTTCCCCACCCTGCGGTTCCCAGTGCTTGACAGGGAAATGGACCACACGAGGTGCTTCTGCATGGCCTTTCTGCACACTGGTCTCTGTCCCTCATTCCCTGGGCTGTGGGCTTTCCCAAGGGGACTTTACCTCAGCTGAGTAGCTCCTGATCTAGTGATATTAATCAGCCACATCTCAAGGACTGTCATTTTTGTTATAGAATAAACCTTTGATAGTTTATACGTTTTTGGACCACAGTTGCACTTTCCTGTGGAAGTCATACATATCTCTTGGTTCAAATACAGGTTAAAAACGGTAAGATTCTTCCCAGCAGACGAAACTGCATTGCCTGGAGACTGAGCAGGCAAATCCTGCAGTGTTTGCTGGCACTCCGGGAGGTGGGCACAGCAGGAGTGGCATTGTGAGGGCCACTTCCAGCTAAGTAGCCAAGGTGTTGATAATCACCAAACTGGCATCTCCAGGCTGCTCTGCTTCTCCCTTGAACATCTTCCTCCTTCCCTTCTCCCTTCTCCAAGAAGTATCCCTTGACCTTGTCAGCTTTTCCTCTGCCTTCTCCCCTTCCTCTCCTCCATACCCTGTCAAAATTTTCCTGGTTTTCCATATTCCCAGGACCTTGCTAGCCTCAGCTCATATAGTAAATGTCGTATAGTCATGGGTCGAATGTCATATAGTTAAGTCATGTCACGGGGTAACTTCTGCATTTTTACATGAGCCTCCTGGATGTTCAAAGGAGTGAACTCGTGGTGAGGATTTCCGGCAAATGGAAACTGATGATGGAGGCTTTTATGGGGTGGGTCTTTCAGAGCATCCTACCACGCTACCTGGGCTGCCTCCACCTAAGACCAGCTGCAGACAGGGGAAACATTCTCCCTATTTAAGGATGACCAGGGAACCTCTGACTCTAGTGGGGCCTTCTTAGGCAAGAAGAGGAGGGAAGCAGATCCCTCTAATTAATACCTTGTCTGAGTCATTGGGCTTGGAATTCAGAGTTTGGAAAGTCACACAAATGCCTTCATTCCCAAGCCTAACTTTCTAGAGAGCCTGGAGCTGGCAAGTTTCAGATTCATTTGTGTCAACATGTTGTTTGGTTAATGTAGCTGAGTATCTAGGCCCATTTTCTTAGAAACAGGAAATCCCAGTGTGCCAAGAGTAAACATCCCAGCCCCCAAAGGTTTGAGTTCATGTAGGAACTCCCTGACCACAAGGGTCTGTGGGTCCGTGTGCTTGAGCCAGGCGTGCTCTTGCACCCATAATTGATCTTGTATAAAGAGATGGTCTCTCTGCAGCTCAGTGGCTGAACTGTGAGCCTGAACCATGCTTGAGGCTGGTTGGGGATAGGCTAAGGACAGGGTCATAATTTCAAACATAAAGCAAAAAAGTATTAGGGCTCTTTTATAACTTGGGCAGGCATCTCCCCTTGCAATCCCCACCACAGACTTCAATTCTAGTTTCTTCTCTTTGTATTCTTTGTTTCTTCTATGACAGTAGGGACCTTGTCTGTCTTTACCTCCACTCCATCCCTATATTCTAAACCGTGCCAAGCATGGGAGGCACCAAGCACAGGCTGGCAGAATGAATGATTGAAAGAATGGCACCATGTGAATCGAGGCAGCAGAAGAAGGCACTCCTGATGGGTTTGACCGTTCCAGCTCTCTGTGAGGCATCCTGCAGGGGTGAGTGCCACATAGTCTTAAGGGGCTCACAGAGAATTAATTCTCTCACAAGCTTGCCAGCCCCTAGTTGGCAAGGGCAGATTCTCCAGAAGCTTCTCTGGTTGAGTTGAGCGAGTTCAGGTTAGCTGGGGCTGAAGGAGAAAACACTGACTGTGCAGAACTTGACAGGGTAGGGGGAAGGGCTGGGGTGGCCAGAGGGGGCTTCTGTTGCACAGAGGTCCGGCTTGCTCACCAGACAAAGAGCCCTCAGAAAGCACCTTCCCCACCTCCGCCACACACAGAGAAGGCGGAGAGGGCCTGGCCTCTTTCTTACAGGAGCCTGGCTGACCCTGTTGCTGCGAGGGGCAGAAAAAGTGGCAGACAGCTGCCTGGAGACGCAGGAGTCGCTGAGCAGGGCCCGCGGAGTCTGACAACGGAAGAAAAGAGGCAACCCTTCTATTATTAGTGGCTGCTTTCCACGTATGTGTAAATCAAACAGCCTATGCAAAAAGAGGCCTCCTGGTAGCAGGAAATTCAGAGTTGTGGGTGTCTTTGTGCTATCAGATCGGGCCCTGGGCTTGCCTGCGATCTGCTCTTGAACGAGCTTCCATCTGGGCTGCATTAAGAGGCACAAGGAGGTGAGCGAAGGCCCAGCCTGGCCTCCCCACCCCCCAGTGTTTCTGGTTTTATGACTCAAGGGGACTTTGTGACTTTTTTAACATCGTGTTTTCAGCATTTCATGTGGGCTCCTTTTTAGAGCCTGTACTGAAGATTTTATGAAAATACGAAAGAGATAAGGCTGCCTCTGTTACTAAATGCCATCCCACGTTTGGAAGCTGGGTGTAACTAAGATGATATAAACTCTTCCCAAGCCCAGGACTTGACTTCTATGTTTAGTGATTTGCTCTGCTGCCATCAGAAGTAGTGATACAGTGTATATCACTTTCATGATACAAAAGAAAATGGCCAGAATTTAATATGAAGAGAACAAAAGGAGGTTACAAAGCAATATGATTCTGGCTAGATAAAAACAATACATATTTGTCTATATATTTGGATTAAAAAGACTGGAAGGAAGGGTACCAAAATATGAAATAGGTTGCTTTCTGTATCGTGAGACTATGAGTGCTTTTACATTTTTTTTTGTAATTTTCCATACATTTTAAATTTTATACAAGGATGAAGTGCCACTTTTGAAGTCATTCTTTTAAAAAACTTAAATGATGCATTTAATCAGTTTAAAAAAAAAAAGTAAGCCAAGAAATAGAGAAGAGGTGGCGCAAGCAGGCCGGGCTTACCGAGGGAGCTGTTTCTCAGCAGCCTTGGGCGGGATTTCCGTGTCCCTTGCCTCCCCTGGCCCTCACTCCATCTCCTCCCTTTTTCCTTGCCCTACACAGCTCTTGTCCATTTCAGCTGGTGACCCCATGCCACTAGAGCACTTTGCTTTCCCACAGCACCGACCTGCCCTGCATCTCGCCCTTGCTTCTCCCAGGAAAGCAAAGGAGGCCCCTGAAACAGGAGCAGATGTGACGAATGTAATTCAGCTCTCAAAATTTGCTGTAAGTCCCCCTTGTCCTTCCAGTCTGCCAGAGATCGTGCCAGTCCTATAGAGCTTACGCTGAGTGCAGAGCCCTCACTGTCTTTGTGTAATGCAGTTTGATAGCTAATTAAGTGGACTTCAGCAACTTCTCAAGGCCACATCTACCAGAGGCGGGTGGCCTGAGACTCCCAGGGGAAATTATTCAAGCTATATGTAAATAAATAATACAGGTTTTACACACACACACACACACACACACACACACGAGGGAAAAGGGGAGAAAAAGAACACACTGGTTTATTTTCTTCATCTAACTGATGAGGAAACGGAGACCCTGATGGGTCCAGTCACATGGCCGGAAGTGGAAGAGCTAGACTTCGAATAGGGCCCTGCCTGTCTCCAAAGCCTGGACTCTTCGGAAGAATGCCTTCCCCCCTCCCATTCTGCAATCCAGGCAGGGCACTGTGGGTGTAGTGAGTCCCAAGCTTCGTAATTACAGGGTTCAACTCTGCCTCCAGAATAACCATGACAAAATTTGTGGAAATGTTCACAACAGCTCTTTACTTCCAGGTTCTGAGATCAGAAACGGAAGTTTCAAAATACCGAAAGTTCGTTTATGTTGAACATAGTGCTTAGGCTAAAAGCAGGAAGTCCAAGAAAGCCTGATCTCATGAGATTTTTTCAGCCCAATTTGGATCCACATCTGCACTTCTGGATTTTCCACTGAGTCTAACCTCAGCTGCTCTGCCGGCCTCACCGAGTCTGTACCTCCAGCATGGGGCACAGATAAGTAATGCACTCTGCTACTATTCACTAAGAGTTGCCCAGTGACTGGCCACTTGAAAAGTAGTGAGCTGGGACAGGCAGTAGAAAGAAACAATGGAAATTTGAAAAATAGGGGTTTTTTTTTCCATAAAGTTAAAAACAAAACAAAACAAAAAAAACTCTAAACAATAAGTCATCCTAATAATGGTCTTGCTCTTGTCTCCAGGTGCAGGAAACAAGTGAAAAAGAACCTTACCACCTACTCCTTCCCACCCCAGTCCTGGCTTCTCCATCTGCCAGTATCCGGCCAGCAGAGGGGAGGGAAAGGTGGTGGCAGTCGGTGGTGTGCCTTGGGCTGCCAGCTTTGGGGGAGCCTCTGAATGTTGGGGAGACTCATCCCCATATATCCGCTCCCATAGCTTGAGGTGCTTTGGAAATCAAGTTTCTCCTGTTGCAGATGAGGAAACTGAGGCTAGGAGAAGTTGAAGGATTTACTCAGACCACACACATCTAGTGACAGCAGGAGCTGGAATGAGAACACAAATCCACAAAGATGTGGTCTTTCTTGAATCATAATAGCTGCCCTACCTACCTCTCAGCATTCGAATGCATTCATAGACATGATAAAGTTTGAAAATGACAAACATAAAGTAAGTGTTAGTTGCTGTATTTTTACACATTCCAGGTAGTGGCTTAGTTAGTGTTGCTGATGCTATATTTAATTTGGGTCCCATTCCAAGTGTAGAATTTTCTGGGGATGCCATTATCAATGTGGTTTCTCTGCCAGGAAGCCCCTACACACACCATCCCCCTACACACACTGTCCCGAGCATCGAGCACCACCTTAGAGGTCCTTATGGGAACATCTGGAGGACTTCTGGATCACAGAGATCTACAGTGCATGGTGGTGTGGGCTCTGCTACTCAGGGAATAAACTCATTCTTTTGAAGCACAGTTTCAAATCAGTCACACCCAACTGCAACTGTCCTGGAGAGGGAGCCGCCCACATCCTTGAGCCACCCCTTTTCAATTTCAGGTACCCAGGCATGCAGGGGTTACTGTCTTGCTTTCAAACCTGTTCACGCTAGGTGCAAAGTGGATGTAGCATGACACATTTGGCAGCCGTGTGGCCTTGAGTAAAGGATTTCACTTCTCTGAGCCTCAGTTTCTTCATCAGAACCTGGTAATTGCAATATATACTCGTGGGTTGGCAAAGGAACTAAAGGGGATGTTTATAAACCACCTGGCATGCGCACAAACAGGCTCTTCCTGCCTTCCCTGCAGCCCCACACTGCCCTTTGGGGTAGGCCCTACATGCCTTACAAACAGCATCCCTGGGCTCCAGAAGGACCGCCAGAATCTGGAAGAGCAAGTCCTCAAATCTTGCAGTATACTATTTTGTTTTCAAGGAATTTCTTACAGGTAGCAATTATTAAATAAATGTCACATGACAGCCAAACCATCATGTGTGTGCTTTTTTATCAGCGAGGTCCCCCTGGGAATCTCCTCTCTCCTTACACATGTTCAGTGAGGCCTCCTTATCCCCATCACAGGTGTACATTCTTGGCTGGGTGTTCTGGGTTGGGGTGCACTTGGAGCAGGGGTGAGGAGGGTAATCTCCCCATCACTTGAAGCTGAAGTGGCAGGAAGCAAGGCCTTTCATGTGGCAGGGTCGGGCATTCTCCTCAGAGCCGCATGTGCCCTGGAAGCCATGCCGGTAGGACCAAGCAGAAGCCACCACTGCTTCCTCCCCACCTTGGAAAATTACACAGCATGCCACTTTGCCTGCTGGCTGCCAGGCAGATGCCCTGCTGCTTCCTGAAGCTGTCCTACCTCCTTAGGATGAAAAACAGAGATGTGCCCATGCCCACAGTGACGAGTGTGCCCTGCCCTCTTCCTCCTCCCTGCACTGGAAAAAGTACAGGGTCTGTAAACAAGTCATTAGATTCAAGATCCTGCCCAATTTAGACTCTTTGTCTCAGTTTTCTCCAGAGTAAACTCGTGGTCACACCCACTCAAACCAAGCAAAGCCCAGAAGGAATGCAGAGCCCTGTGGCCAGGCTCACCGCAGCTGACCCTGAGATGCCCAGAGCTCCAGCACTTCTGTGCTGGGAGAGGAGAGCGGGAAGTCCAGAGCAATCTATTCCAACAGGAGCAGAGTAGCAGTTCTGATGGGCAGACGGCTAAGATCCCAGTGTCTGGGTTCAAGTCCCCAGAGCAGCTTTTACTTTTGGAACTAATTCTCCAAACTATCAAAAATCAAAAATCCACCTCCTTTGAAGTCTGGCAAGAAAACCCCCACAATCAGCTCCTCTTTATTCCTGTACTTCCCGTACAGGCAGGCTTCTAGAAAACAGAGGTTGGAGAAAATGAAAGTCAATGCCAAATACTAACCAGACAGAAGAATAACTGCTTTTCCCCACAGCACCCCCACCCCCAGCTCTGGCATTATGGGCTGGGGAACTGGGCCCCTCTCCTGCTGCTGAGGATCTGTTTATTTTGCACTCCATAAAGGGAAACCAGGCCCTTTTCTGACATTTTGGCTTGGAGGGGGTGGGAAGAGAAGGAGGTCCAGAATTTAAACTCAAAACCAGATCAACTTCTCTAAATCTCCTGGTGCTTTTGCTATGATTCCTAAATGGGCTGCATTGTATGAATCAGGCTTTTTACTCCCCCAACCAATGTGCTTCCATTTCTAACAGTCTGGCTCCTAACCCTACGAATGCCATAAACTACCATGACCCCTTATTGACTTCTAACCACGCAAATGCTCCCCAGATGAAATTAGGGACAGACACACTCACAAGCAGCTTGGCAGCTCTCCCTGCCTCTCCTGCAGGAAAATCTGTGCCTACGCCACAAACCTTGCTCTCCTTAGTGGATGGTGGCTTCCTTTAAACAATAAAACAGGGAATTTCCTTTGTCCTGGAAATGTTCCGCTTGTCATCAGTGTTATCCTTATCAGCAGACCACAATGCAACCAGGAGAGGCCCCAGCATGCTTAGGACTCGTGGGGCATCATTGCAAAATGTTTTCTTCGTTTTTTTTTCCTCTCTGCCTTGAATTCAAAGCATGACCTTTATGGGTGGAATTCAGTCAGGTCATCTCTCAGATTCCCCAGTGGGGAAATAAAAGTGGCACAAGCAAAGTCTATTGTTTCCATTGCAAGAAGGTAGAAATGTTGTTTTCTCTCTCGATCATCCAACTAAACGAGATGGGAGGGGATATAGGGGAGGTAATAAAATTACCCTTAAAAATTGACAGCTTATTAAAAAAAACATAGCCTCGGTCCTGGTATTCCCATGGAACTTGCATAGCAGGGGCTCCACAAACGTCATTGACTTCTCAACTGTTTCAGTCCTTCACTGTGGCTTTCACTATTTTTAATTCAATTCATTTCTATTTGGACAAGTTTGAAAATCATTTTTTTTTCTTTAAACAACAGGCAAGCAATACAGTTAGGAAAAGGGGTGGAGGCATGTGGGAATGCCAGAAGGCCAGAGGAATTGCAAAAATAAACTTCTGCTAACGGTAACACTCTTGTCTTCCAGAGCAGGAATAATTAATTGTATAAGTTTAATCACTTAGCAACACCAAGCTCTTATTCTGAAAAGCTCAAAGTATTTCACATATGTAGTGAGTAAAGTCTTTGGTATCAGACAGACCCTACAAGCTGCACAACTTTTGGCAAGTCAATTGAGTTTTTTATGTCTTGCTTCCTCTCACTTAGAGAGTGGTGTCATAATAGATGGATTCCCTGGGGCTGTGGTGGGAGTCAAGTGCTAAAATGCCGTCAGTGGCTCATGCTTGTAATCCCAGCACTTTGGGAGGCCAAGGCGGGTGAATCACGAAGTCAAGAGATCGAGACCATCCTGGCCAACATGGTGAAACCCCGTCTCTACTAAAAATACAAAAATTAGTTGGGCGTGTTGGTGCGTGCCTGTAATCCCAGCTACTTGGGAGGCTGAGGCAGGAGAATTGCTTGAACTCAGGGGGCAGAGGTTGCAGTGAGCCAAGATCGCACCACTTTACTCCAGCCTAGTGACAGAGCGAGACTCCATCTCAAAAAAAAAAAAAAAAAAAAAAATGCCTTCAAGTGTTCGTCATAGTGCTGGGCTCATCAGTAACTAACTACTCAGTAACCATCATCATCATCATTGCTATTGGCATTAGTGATACCTCAGCCGAAGTCGTTTAAAGTAATACTGAGATAAAGGACACAACCCTTCCAGAAAAGATCTTGAACATCAATCCCAGTTCTGAACCTCTGTAGACTCTAGAATCTCAGATCAGAGGGTTTCCTCAGAAATTCTAGCAAACACCAGATATAGATAGCATGCCTGTTCTTTTCTTTAGTAGGCGTTTCTTTTTTTTTGATCTTGCAAAATGCTTTTACGGCCATCTTTATTACAACATCACTTCGAGGTAAAATTATCATTGGAAGAATCTCCCTGTTCTGTAGTTGAGGAAACCGGAGCATGAGAAGGCCCAGGTCTTTGTTAGAGGTCAAGATAGCAGTTTATGTCAAAGTCGGCTGGCGCATGTTAGAGCTCTATTTGCCAAAAAGTTACCCTTTTTTTTTTTTTTGACAGTGAAGACATATCAAGTTGAAACCCAGTGCTTTCGTAGGCTGAGATTCCCGAAGGTGGAATTCAGCCTCCCAGAATCTTCTTGCCTTTGAAATTTCTGGATGCATTGCATAGTAAAGGCATATTAACCTATACATATGTACTCTATGCACTCAGTAAAACCTTAGTCTGAAAATTCCTTCTAAGGCAATTGGCCTCTCACAATATTCTTCAGTACACTCTACTTGCCTTTACTGAAGAAGAGAGTGGCTATGAAAATGGCTCATGGCCACACAGATAATGCCTGGGGGGACTATGGTTAGGATGACTAAGCTGAAGGTACTTAATTTAGCACTGCCCCGGCAGCCATTTCATTCATTCACTCAACCAGCAAAGACTTATTGAAGGCCTATTCTCTTTCATACTGACTCCTGCTTATCTTTCAGGATTCAGCCTGAATGTCACTTCCTTAGGGAAGCCTTTGACCTCTGAGAGTAGGTTAGGTCCCCATATTATGCCCTCCAGAGGCACCCCATACTTCCCCTTTCATAGAACCCTTTGCACTTACACCAACAAGCTCAATACCTGTTTCTCTGCCTTCACTATAACCTCTGTCCTAGGAGGAACCACACCTGTCTGTTTTACTGCTATACTCCAGCACCTGGCACATAGAAACTGCTCAATTAATACACGGATATGTGTCAGGTGCTGAGGACTTGAAGACAAATGGCCTGAATCTCTCCCCTCAAGGAGCAAGTAACTAACTCACTTTGTTCACAGAATTGTATTCTTTACATACTCCTCACATTATTACCAATGCAACCTGAAAAAACAACAACAACAACAAAAAACACAACAAAAACAACAGTGGAATGCTTTAAACTGAAGAGTGATTTTTCTGCAAATACATGAGCTGCAGAACTGTCAAACTACTGATAAATTCTATATCAATAGGAAGACACTATTAAAGACTCTAATTGGACATTTATAATTTTACCCTTTCTGGAGGGCAGGTATGAGTGAGAAGCAGGACTACAGTGGTTCCTCACCCCTAACACCATTATAAGAGTTAGACCTCAAGGAACATGGCCTCATTTTCTCTGAGGAAATGTTTTTTTGAAGACATCTTTGTTTTAAACAACTCACCTCACGAATTTATGCATTCAGTGACAGACACAAGACTGACCTTCACAATGATGTGTACCTGAAGACTTCAAAAGAAAAAGCTGCTATAGGTCTGGTCATTAGTGAGACCTTAGTAATGAGATCAGATCTCCTCAGGAGAAAGACCGGGGTATTTATTCCTCATGGTAATTCTAAAACCACAGGAGGTATAGCATGCCATATATTTCTATTATCCATTTGTGAGAAGTATGAAGGGTAGAGATAAATTGCTTCATGTCTCAGGGATATCAAGGCTGTAGATCTTTGGAAAGTGTATGATAACCCTTGGCTCTGTGACCCCACCCAAATCTCATCTGTGTTCCCAACCCAAATCTTCCATAGCTCCCACGTGTTTTGGGAGGGGCCTGGTGGGAGATAATTGAATTATGGGGTGGTTGTTTCCCATGCTGTTCTAATGATAGTGAATGGGTTTCATGAGATCTGATGGTTTTTAAAACAGGAGTTGCCCTGCACAAGCTCTCTTTTTGGCTGCTTCCATCCATGTAAGGTGTGACTTGCTTCTCCTTGCCTTCCACCATGATTGTGAGGCCTCCCTAGCCATGTGAAACTGTAGGTCCAATAAACCTATTTTTTAAATAAATTGCCCAGTCTCAGGTATGTCTTTATCAGCAGCAATGAAAACATACTAATACGGTATGCCATAGAACAGCACTGGCTTAATCCATTTTGTGTAGCTGTAATGGAATATCTGAGGCTAGGAAATTTATAAAGAAAAGAGGTTTATTTGGCTCATGGTTCTCATGGTTTTGTGGGCTGTACAGGAAGCATGGTGCCAGCATCTGCTTCTGGTGAGACCTCAGGAAGCATATAATTGTGGCGGAAGATAAATGGGGAGCCAGCATGTCACATAGCAAGAAAAGGAGAAAGAGGGAGAAGGAGGAGGTCCCAGACTCTTTTAACAACTAGATCTCATGTGAGCTAAATGAGCCAGAGCTCACTTATCACCCAGGGGATGACACTAATTCCTTCACGAGGGGTCTGCCCCCATGATTCAATCACCTCCCACCAGGCCACACCTCCAACACTGAGAATCACATTTCAACATGAGATTTGGAGGGGACAAACAACCAAATTGTGTTGAGTACAAACCTAGGGAACACTCATTGGTGAGAAATTGGATTTCAAAGACTACTGCTCTACCTGCTAAGTTTTAAAATAAAATTTTAAAAAGACAAAGACTAACATTCTAGCTGGTTATTTGCTAAATTAAAGCTGCTTTGTTCACATTTACACTTAGAAGAAATCTTACAAACAGTTATAGCAACCTGGGAACTAGAAAAGCAAACCATCTGTTAATAGTATAGAACTCTACATAATAGGAAATCGTATTTTCCTGATGGCATAAAGCATTAGAGCTAAAAATGACCTTAAAAATAAGCAAGTACACTGCCAGTATTTTGCAAATGGAGAAACTAAAATCACCATGATATCTAGGAATTCTTTTTGGCTAAGATTATTTTTCGATGAAAAGGTATATAGCAAAGCCCATACCTTTCTTGATAAGCCCAATAAACCTTCAATCATGATTTGTGAATATCCTTTTGATAAATTCCAAATGCCCCCATTTAATAGAAGGGAAATAAAGTATTACATTCTTAAAGGTCAGCAGAGCATTGGTGATGGAGCCAGGAGACTGGATGGAAAGCCTAGCTCTAGCCCCAGGCCAACATGATAATGCTCAACACTCACTTTTTATTTTGTTTTGCTTTAACGTTAGTCATAAGAATAAATGGAAGTGTTAGTCTCCATGTGGACAACACATTGCTGACTCAGATCAAAATAATCCATGTAAATATGCCCCTCTGACTGAATTCAGATTTCAAGATGATGTTTTTAATTTGAATGATACAGACTTGCATTGCCCACTATGGTAGCTTCTAGCCACATTTAATTAATTGCATTAATCAACTAGTTAAATTTAATTGACTCAATGAAAAGAGAACATAATTTATAATTTTCTTCCTCTAGCCACATTTCAAATGCTCAATAGCCACTCAAATAGACAGTACGGTGGCTTCCATAATGAACAGAGCAGAGCAGGACATTTCCATGTTTGCAGAAAGTTCTGTTGGACAGCCCTGATGAGGGAAGTTTTCTTAATCTTTCACTGTCCTTGGACTTTAAGATAGGGTTAAAAAGGTTGAGAAAAACTGATAAAGTTTCCCAAATCTCTTCTCCTAAAAATTGTGCAAGAGCTATCTCTTTTACAAAATTTCCTACACGTAAATATCTTTAAAAGGGAGATTTTAGAGCCTTTTTATTGTGTAGCCCAATAAAATACTATTGCTCCCAAATCGAATGCAAAATCAGAAACTCAGTTCCTGGAGAGATAATTTTTTACATAGTTAGTTAAGGTGGTAGGACAATGAGTTTGTCCAAACCCTTCATACAATCCAACATCACAAAAATAAGGCAAATTTTCTGCAAAGCTGCATTTGCTTTCATTGTGTCAGATGTTCTTCATGATTTGAAATATAAATTTGAGATGCTCTCCAATCTCTTTACCTTCACTATGGTGTTGGTGTGGAAAAAGGCAGCTTGATCCTTCAATACAGCATCTAGGTCTTGATGGCGATTTGTTTTCATGGAGAAAAAGCAGTAGGGCTGATCTTAGCCAGATTGTGGTCATTAGGAACTGCAGACCGGTGTCTGAGCAGTTCAATGTTTGGCCTCATGCACTTTGAAATCCCAATTCTGTTAGCCAAGAATAAAACCCTAATACCTAGTTCAAGGCGTTCAATGAAAAGATTTCAGAAGTTCATTATCTTAATACTAAATGTCCGAATGAGCACTTAAACATAAATGGTCAACTCCATTTTCCTTCCTTCATCTCTTCATTTTTGAGCTACTTCAGTGTGGGTAGAATATGGACAAATGTTCTCCTTCCCTTCACTTTTGGTCACATAATCATACTTGGTTGCTCGAGGTACCATGATAGACAGCAATACAAGCTTTCCTAGAATACTGATGATGCACGGTGAGAATAAAGACAGAGCCAGCTTTCCTGGTCTCATTAAGTGAAAGAAGGGCCTCCGTCACACCTGACTTCAACACTAAAAGAGGATGATCTTCAAGGCAAATTACTTCTTTTATTCTGTTGTCCCTTCACTCACACAAAAGTCAGTTAAACCTATTAGTAGCATTTACACTTAAT